TGAGGCAGGAGGATTACTTGATCCCAGGAGTTTGAAGCTCCAGTGAACCATGATTGTGCTACTGCACTCTAGCCTGGGTGATAGAACAAGATCCTGTCTCTAAAAAAAATTTTTTTGAATCCTCCACTTTTTTTAATCCTTTTCAGTCTTCTGTTTGAAGAATTTCCTTTCTTCATTTTTGATTCCCTTGGTAAGAGTCTACAAATACCTTTGAGTTTGGTTACTCTATAAGAATGCTTATTGTTCAATATCATACATTTATCATTAGATTTGTAGAACAGTATAATGCTGAAGTCGAAGAGGACATCAGGTATCAGGTTGTCCAACTCTCATTAAATGAATATCCCAAAGAAGGTGACATAGCAGATATCAGAGGTTGATCTCTAATTACTGGCTTTTTCTCTACCATGATAATAAGCCAGAATAATAATTTTTTTTCTTGCTTGGTCCTGTAGAACATGACCAAAATTTGTAGTAGTTTATTCAGTTATTTCTAATTTTTAACAGTGTAACTAAAAAATGTAATTGATCCTGTTAGGCCCTAATGATTCTATCATGTAATTACAGACATAACATAACAAGGTTGTGTTATGTTGTAGGGGCTGGGAGGCTGGCCAAACATACTTACTCGCTAAGTAATTCATCCACAACATTTATGTTCTCATATGTATAATTCAAGAGTTTGCCTCAGCAAAATGACAAGTTGTCACTTATCACAGACCTTCATCACAGATTGTCAAAAACACAGAGAATTTCTCTTAAAATGAGGTCTATGTTGGGTTTGAATGTGTTTACATGTAGTTGGGTGGGTTTCCAAAGTTAAATGTAAAAAATAGATGTTTTATATTACTAGTTGTATTAAAGATATGATAAATTAATATATGTTCTATTTTTTTTTTTTCAGGGAGCTATTCATGCCAAGTACGATGCAATTGATAAAGACACTCCAATTCCTACAGATAGACAAGTATGATTTAGGTTTTGTTAAACAATCTAAGATAATTCTGCCAAATTTAAAGTTTAGGAAGGGTCATGACGAAAGCCTCTTTCTCTCATGAATACATAAATGCTGCTATATACATTTTTTTTTTTTAATGCCAACTCTTTATTCTTGCTCCAGGATCTGTGGGTCAGTCAGGTTCAACTGAACTGGGCTGCAAGCTGTGGGTTGGGTTCAGGTCTGCTCTCATTCTGGGGGCCGAGATTGTCTAAATGCACATGTCAAATTGCAAAGTCTTCCTAGACAATCAGGAATGCGGTTGGGGCCATCAGGGGTGGGCCCACAGAGAGAGCCCAAAGCCAACCTGTGGGCCAAAGATAGTCAAGCAAAGGCTTGGGAGGGCTTCTGTAACTCTTCCAGCCTGTGGCAGCTGAACCACAAGCAAGACATTCCTGGTCGGGTAACCAAACTTTGTTACCGAACACTAGGGTTTCAGTCTAGGTCTCATTGCTTGCCTTACAGAAATCCAATCATTGAGACAAGTGTTGACGGGGAAGAAGGATTTATTATAATTATTATTTTTTGAGATGGAGTTTCACTCTTCTTGCCCAGGCCGGAGTGCAATGACACAATCTGTTGTTAGAGATTTCATAACTCATAATCTATTGTTAGAGAAAGCATAACTCTTATGCTTATAAATTAGTAAGAACAATACCTTAAAGGACTTTAGGTCAAGTTACCTTTTTTTTTTCCTCGTTTCAAGTTTTAATCAAAGCTTGTACATAAAATTACTTTATTTCTGCATCTTCTGAATTGTTTCTTCCTGCTATTTGCCCTTTTCCTTTCCTACTTGGCGAGATTTGACTTTCCGTTCAAGGATCTTTTTGTGGCCTTTGTCCAGTTTTAGTCTGGTGATATCCATCTTGCTGAGGTGAATGCCTATGGGGACAGTTGTGCCATTAGCCTTTTCCCACTGCACCCGTTCAATGTAGATTACACATTTCTTCCTGTAAACCTGGACTACTTTGCCAATCTGCTGACCTTTACAGTTTCCTCGTACAACCTGAACTTCATCATCCTTTCAGATGGGCATGGATCGCATGTTGTACTTCTGTCTCGGCTCTTTGGAAAGAGGGGAAGACATAATCTTCCTGCAAATGTGGGAAGGTGCATTGAAATGCCTTTTACAATTCTTGCTTCGGTCAGACGTCACAAAGGGATTGAATTTCATTTTGGCCTCTCCCACTTCAGTGATAGCCGCAAAAGGGCCAAGTTACCTTTTTAAAAATGTTATCTTTCTTCATCTGAAAAATTTGTCCTTCATTTAGACTAGATTATAAAGGAAAATGTTTTTGAAAAGTATATTAACACATACCTTTTCAGAAGAAATGGTCTGTTTTTCCTGGTTAAGTATTTGTGCAACTTCTTTAGTGTTTTTATAAGATCAATTAAAAAATGCAAAAAATTAGGCACTTAAGAAGTTGGTCTGTTGTGAAATTCATATTATAGCTTCTGCTTTTCCTTATTTAATGAATAAGAGTTAAGGATTTATTGCTAATTATACAATTACTGTTTCAGCTTATTGCTTTGCTATTTTAACAGATTGAAGTGGATATTCCTCGCTGTCATCAGTACGATGAACTGTTATCATCACCAGAAGGTCATGCAAAATTTCGGCGTGTATTAAAAGCCTGGGTAGTGTCTCATCCTGATCTTGTGTATTGGCAAGGTAACTCTTTTAGTTACTAAAACTCTTCTGGAATATTAGAAGATTGTTGCATAACTGACATTTAAAAAATTAAAGTATCTAAACATCCTTGTCTTTGGGAAAATTCAATATTAAAGCTCCAATTCATTTTTTGAGAGGTTTACATGCAAACATTTAAAAAAATCTTTGTATAAATCCTAGTAGATATCATTTAAACACATAATATTTAACATGCAAATTTATTAGCAAAGCAGAAAGAATATTTGGAATTATCTTTGTGGATACATTTTTAAAATGCTTATGCAACTTATTAAATCATTTGGGGCTAGTTGAGATTCTTACAGTTAATGATTTCTAATTTATACTTATCATGGCTATTAGGGCTTAAAAATAGGCTATCACCCTATAGTCCTCATTTTATTTATTGTCTTTTTTCCCTCATATCATTAATGGTTCATATTCTTTATTTTTAGCTTTGCCATTATTATTTTTGTGTTTGATAAAGAATGAGAAACCCATTATAGCCCTATTTTTTTAATGTTATAAGTAGCTGTTTTTATATTTCAATTCTCTATTTCTTACTGGCCATAGTTAAAATATAGCTATTATTTTCCTTAGTTCTGTGTATTTGAGAACTATTCTATACCCTCCTAATAATTTAAGGTAGATTTATGTACGTTTTTTCAGCATGACAGCACATGCACATCATTATTATCAGTAGAAGAAATGTCATATATTTGGAATTCACTTCACAATTTTTAAAAAATTTTTTTTTTAGTAATTCCAAAGAAAAAGAACATAGGCAAAACTCCGTTTCCTAGATGAGAAAGTATGCTAGAAAATGTTAAGTAATTACCAAGGTTACACAGTTAGGGTCAGAGATGGAACGATATCCAAAGCATTGTAACATTCTTACATTTTTCTATTATTGTATTTCTCTTTTCAATTTATAATAATATGGATAATAATAATAACTGATTTATATTGAACATATACTGTGTGCTACACTATCACTCCCCACAGTAACTCATGAAGTAACATATTTCTGGATGAATAATACTTCTAATGTTTAATCTACGTGGATGTAATGCAAATAACTGAATAAGGTATACATCTTCAATTCTACTGGATTATATTTATTTGACTTCTTTCTCCCAACCCCTCTGCGTTAGGTCTTGACTCACTTTGTGCTCCATTCCTTTATCTAAACTTCAATAATGAAGGTAAGCCTCTTTATCATTTAAATAATAATTTCTCATAATATTCTAAAATATTTGATTCAGACATGCAAGGTTTTTGATTTTGTTTTAAGGTTCTTATTCTCTCCCTGGTAGAGTTCTGTGAAATAATCTATTATAGACCCATTTTAGAGAGGTGAAAGGTTAATTTTTTACTGGATAGTTTCAGTTGTGCTAAAGCTATTACTAGGAATTTAGTGGAAGTTGATTTTTCTAAATTCTTTAGAGATTAATTTTTGTCTAAGTATACTTTCTAAAGAATTTGTAAAGAAATCAGTTATGGTGGCACTTTTCTGTGATCTTGTATCTCCAAAGCCTATAATCATTGCATATACCTCTTCCTTAATGAAGACTTTGCTTATTCTCCTTCTTGAGACCATAAAGCACTTTGTATTTATGAAAATTTATCTTGTGTCTATCTTATATTCTAGTTACTTATATACTAACGTTGTAATCGTTTTTTGACAGCGTTTTTTCAGTGACAGGTTATTTTTCCTGCCCTTCTGCAATAACTTTGTTATTGTAGGCTTTTCAATAAATACTAAATTTAAATAACTCCAATCCCTGAAATCACATGTAGACTGTGTTACCATATATAGCTTGAATGTCTAGATGATATTCATGACAGAATTTGCATAGATTTCTGGAATTAAATAGAAATAGCATGATTGCAGAGAAATGAAATTTTACTCTTTGAATTGTTATTAAATACACTGTTCTCTGATGTTCTCACTCATTAATCTAGACTAGAGTTTTTACTGTGTTTAGGTAGGCATAGCCAATTATCACTCATACTGATCCACGCACAGTAAGGGGTCTGTTTTTGAAAATGTGGATTAAACTACTGTTCCTAAATCCAAAGTTCATAGACTCTTGTTTACATCAGCAGCAATTAAGGATCATGAGGTCTGTATAACTTATTAATAATGATTATGCTTAGAAATTTAAAGAAGTTTAGGTAATAAAAGTTTTGATTATTGTGTGATAATGATTGCCACACTAGTTTGAAATTGAAGTTATAGAATTACTTTTGTTGTCTAAAATATTTTCTGTTTTAAAGCATAGAGGCTTTTATCTCTTAATTTTGTTTTTCTACCACTTGCTATCGTAACTGTTATTTAATAGTAGATTCAAGGAATATGTGCTAAGTGAATGCATTACTGCTGGTCATCTACCGTGTTAACTAATTTTTTTACATGCTTTTGCCTTATTCTCTTTTAGCCTTGGCTTATGCGTGTATGTCTGCTTTTATTCCCAAATACCTGTATAACTTCTTCTTAAAAGACAACTCCCATGTAATACAAGGTAAGCAAACGTCTTTCCATGTCTTTTTATAGGGAAACTACTGATATATACTGGTGTGCTGATTTAATACTTGATTAAATTTATGATTTTGACCCCCGAAATGATGATGGTTCATCCAATGAAGCCCATAAAAAGATATGAGAAAGTTCCGTCTTTCCTCCAAATCTACAAAGAATTATGGTATTTTTCTAATGGATATTTGATGTCTGATCTCAGTTCAGTTCAAATGCAGGCATGCTAGTTTGAGAAAATAAGAGACTGCTATTTGTTTCTCTCACAAATTAAAATTGCTCACAAAAAGCTTCACCATCGAACAAGTCCATTGTGAATTAGTAAAAAGTTTAAATGTTTAATTGTGTAAGCAGAATATTAGAAACACTTCTCATTTGTCCCAATTCCCATGCATGCATACCCAAAATATGCTCCCTCTTTCTTAAACTTTCCTAAAATATACCTCCTTCTTAAGAGTTAACATCATAGCATGACCTGTTTATGAATTCTTTCAGGACAACTTTAGCCACATTCAAATTTTTACTTCAATTTCCTGAACTCTTTTTTGGAAGCAATATAATTGAAGTTAAAAATATGCACATTTAGATAGAAAAAATAATCCTAAAATTTATATGGAACAGCTAAGGACAGAACAGCTATCCTGAGCAAAAAGAACAAAACTGGAAGAATCACGTTATCTGGCTTTAAATTACACTGAAGAGCTATAGTAACTAAAACAAAATGAAACTGGCATAAAACCAGACACATAGACCAGTAGAACAGAATAGAAAACCTGGAAGGAAATCATTACACTTATAGTGAACACATTTTTGACAAAGGTTACAAGAACATATACTGGAAAAAAGACAGCATCTTCAATAAATAGTGCTGAGGAAATTAGATCTACATATGCAGAAGAATGAAACACGATCTCTGTCAACATACAAAAAAATCAAATCAATGTGGATTAAAGTCTTAAATCTGAGACCTCAATTTATGAAACTACTATAAGAAAACATCAGAAAAACTCTCCAGGATGTTGGTCCGGGCAAAGATATCTCGATTAATACACTACAAGAAGAGGCAAACAAAGCAAAAATGAACAAATGAGATCACATCAAGTTAAAAAGCTTCTCAACAACGAAGGAGACAATCGACAAAGTGAGGAGACAACTTTGAGCTTCTTATATATTCTGGCTGTATATATTCAGACACTCTGACAGGGATTAACAGCCAGAATATATAAGAAGCTCAAATAACTGTGTAGAAAAGAATCTAACTGATTTTAAATAGGTCAAAGATTTGATTAGACATTTCTCGAAAAAAGACATACACATGGCAAACAGGCTCTGAAAAGGTCCTCAACATCATTGATCATCAGAGAAATTCAAGTCAAAACTACAATGAGATACTATGTCACTCTAGTTAAAATGGCTTTTATGTAGAAGACAGGCAATAACAAATGCTGATGAGGATGTAGAGAAAAAAGAACGCTCATACGCTGTTGGTGGGAATGTAAATTAGTATAACCACTACAGAGAACAGTTTAGAGGTTCTTCAATAAACTAAAAGTAGACCTACCATATGATCCAGAATTCCTACTGCTGGGTATATACCCAAAAGAAAGGAAATCAGTATCAGAGAGATATCTGCACTCCCATGTTTATTGCAGCACTGTTCACAATAGCCAAGCTTTGAAAGCAACCTAAATGTCCATCAACAGACAAGTGGATAAAGAAATGTAGCATTTATACACAATGGAGTACTATTCAGCCATAAGAAAAAATGAGATCCTGTCGTTTTCAACAACATGGATGGAACAGGAGGTCATTATGTTAAATAAGCCAGGTACAAAAAGGCAAACTTGACATGGTCTCACTTATTTGTGGGATCTAAAAATCAAAACATTTGAACTTACAGAGATAGAGAGTAGAATGATGTTCTACAGGTTGGGAAGGGCAGTGGGGGGTAGGACTTGGAGGATACACATTGTTAATGAGTAAAAATAAAGTAACCAAAAGAATGAATAAGACCTAGTATTTGCTAGCACAACAGGGTGACTATAGTCAATAATTTAGTTGTACATTTCAAAATAACTAAGAGCATATAATTGTATTGTTTTTGACACAAATGAAAAATGCTTGAGGTGATGGATACCCCATTTTTCCTGAATGTGTTTGTTATGCGTTGCATATCTATATCAATGTGTCTCATTTACCCCATAAATATATACACGTACTATGTACCCACAAAAATTGAAAACAAAACAAGAAAACTCATACTTTTAAAATAGATAAGTATTTCAGATTTAAGCTTTACTACTTATTGTGTAATCTTGGACAAATAATTTAAGTTCTGTAGGTATCATTTTTTCATATCTACAATAAAAATACTGTTGTAAAGGTTAAACATAATATGTAAATTCTTGGTATATGGCAATATTCAATAAGTGCTATTTATTTCTTAACATTACTGTTATGAGTACTGTTTTTTGCCAGTGTTACTATTATGGCATTATAGACTGTTTTATATCTTTTCAACAAGATTCTTTATATTTTAAGGGCAGGGAATGTTTTTTTTATTCTTTTAGAACAGACTACAAAGCTGTTCACTCTCAATTACTGTTTCTATGACGCTTATCAGATATCTGTTTTAACTTGTTTTTAACTATATATAATTCTTCCTGCTTAATTTTAAACAACTTGAACCTGATACTGTGTTATATATATTATTATGGTTTTATATAATTCAACCAGTTTTCATAAATGAGGTGGGAATACCAGATGTTGTATTTGACTTATCAAAAATTTTGAGTAAGTGGGATCTCAATTAGTAATAATTTTACTTTGTTAGAAATGAATATAAAATTAGAATGTTGGGGGTCGATATAATGAGAAAATAATTAGAAAGGAAGCAGAAAGGAAAATTTAAACTAAAAGAAACAAAGCTAAAAGTAGAAGGAAAAGAATGTGGATAAATAGTTTAGCACATAAAAACATTTATTTTTTCAGCATCATTTACCTTGAGGTATAGAGAAAAGGAATGAAAACTTTTTAAAATTTTGTGTTCACAAGCAAATTGAATCATGTGTTTATTCCTATATATCTGTGTCTACAGTGTAGATGGTTGTTAGAAAATCAAATAATGATCCAGTGTCTGTATGTTAATTTTAAAATGCAAAATCCATTGGCTTTTCTATTTTGAAATCATTTAGTTTGACATGGATATGCCCAATGCTTTGCACATTTTCTACAGTGTGGACTTGTATAAAGTTGAGATTAATTTGAGAAAGATCTTTAGAAGGTACAGCTTTTTGGTTTGACTTTTTCTAATAAGGAGGAGTGCATTTTATAGTGGAAGTTGATTTCTGCTTATAGATTATCTTAATAAGGTCACTGACGTCAAGTACCATGTTACACCTTCTTCATAATTTGTGAAGTAATATTCTATAATGCTGTATCCTGTACCTTATTAAGAACGATGTGTCCCATTCTTTCTAATAGCTTCCTTCTTAACCTTATCAGTGAGGTTTATTGTAGAATTTATAGTGTACTCTTTCAGGCTTCAGTTAATAGAAAAATTGGTGGATTTAATTAAACTTTGGGTAACATCAGAAGATTTCAGACGCTATGCAATATAATCTGTCAGATAGTGACCAAAGACAAATAATCAGGTTAGTATTTGTGCAATATAAAAGGAAATTTGATAATCATTAAAGTTTTCAGCAATATAGTGCTGTTAGTTTCAAAGCTAACATGAAACTGTAATGTTTCCTGAACTTTCCAAATATAAAAGCCCAGATATCATCTTTTTCCCAGTTTGTTGGCCCCAATGAATATACAATGTTGGGCTAAATTTCTATACTTTAGAAAGATGAAAATATTGGGGAATCCTCAAATAAGCAATAAAAACAAGACTTATGAGCTGATTAGACTCTTTCTTAGATGGCTAGATGATGCCTTCCTAGATGGCCAGCTCTTAAAGGACCATATTAGACAGCTTTGTTATATTGATTTCTATTTGGCTATATTCCTCCAAAATTTTATTTTTCCACTGTTTCATATCTCAGATACATACATTGTACGTTAATAATGAATTTCCAATATGAAAAAGACAAATTTCCACACTTTCTAATTACAGACTTTTGTAACAACTTTGTTTTTTGAGACAAGATCTGGCGCTATCGCCCAGGTCAGAGTGCTGTGGCACAATCTCAGCTCACTGCAACCTCCACCTCCTGGGCTCAAGCTACCCTTCTACCTCAGCATCCTGAGTAACTGAGAGTACAGGCATGCACCACTGCATCTGGCTAATTTTTGTATTTTTTTGTAGAGACAGAGTTTGGCCGTGTTGCCCAGGCTGGTCTCGAACTCATGAGCTCAAGCCATTCACTCACCTCTGCCACCCAAAGTGCTGGGATTGCAGGTGTGAGCCACTGCACCTAGCCTTAACACACTTTTAAAAGGCATACTATACAGATATGCAAGACAATATCTTGTTTAATTTATTAATTTCAGTACTATAGTGCATGTAAGATGAATTTAGAGAGACTTATCAGAAAGACCAAAAATGACCATTTAGTTTGATCAATTTATCAGTAATGCATTTAACATCTAACATTATAATTAAAAGACCTCTCAACGATTATTTAATGCTTGGTTTTCTAAGTATTAATAATTTCCTCAGTTATGATTTCTATGAAATTGCATTAGAAATCCTGAATTGCTTTTTAATTTTGAACTTCTTTAAAGCCACCATAAATGTTCTAGAATATTATGATGAAAAAATAATCAGTAGACAAGGTGTTTTAAATCATTTGTCCAATTTTTATATTGACCTACTCAGGATGCTGAGGTAGAAGGGTAGCTTGAGCCCAGGAGGTGGAGGTTGCAGTGAGCTGAGATTGTGCCACAGCACTCCAACCTGGGTGATAGAGCCAGATCTTATATGTTATATAAGAAAAAAGTTTCAGTTAGTCTTTCAGCACATAAGTGTACTGACACTGTGTC